AAAAAAAAAAAAAAAAAAAAAAAAAAAAAAAAAAAAAAAAAAAAGGAAGTAGTCCATCTTAACAGGCCGTTAATGCTGCAACTTGGAAGTGAAACCCAAATTCTGCCCCTTAACACCGGCTGAAGGGAATGTGCAGCCTTCCGTCGTGGTGAGAAGAGTTCAAGGAGCAGGCTGTGGGTACTCACCAGCACGGCAATAACCAGGTCCCGAAGTCCGTTAAACCAGCTTTTTGGTGTTCTGGGTTTTATAAAGCAGGGACATGGTGCTGACAATAACACTGTGGTCCTGCCTACAACTTAACTTGCACTAATTGCATTTAATTCATTAGCTTTATTTTCTGAGGATATACTTACACAGCTGGTCAGAATATCCTGGTTAGTCTCGTGTCACAAATGGCATTTTGTTAAAAAAATTTTTAAAAATTAATAATAATAAAAAAGGAGAATCTGCAGCATGGTGAGCCCTGCAGAAGGAAGAGGTTTTACAGCAGTTGACAATGAGGCCATGGACGAAAAGCTGGTGGCATTGGGTCCATCTGCAACACACCAAACCCTGGCTGTTAGGATCAAGCCCTTCACGTTCGCTCCTAACCTGCTCCCACTCTAACAACCTGGGTAGGTGTAAGGCACCCAGCTTGAGGGAAGCATAGCCCTGATTAGTTTGGTAAGGTCAACTTGAAATTAAATCTTCACCTGTCATGTGTGTGTGAAGACATACACAACGATAAACCTCCCAGCTTTGGAAATACGGCAGTTCATAAAAATACAAAGCTTCAGAGTTCAGGACCTAATAAAGCAATGTGGGAGACAAAAATTGTCAGCAGCCATAACGACAAAGCATCTTCTTCAAAAAGATGAACACCAAATGCATAAACGTGAAATAATCCTGTTTTTTAACTGGAAGAGTCCACATTTGACAGCACAATCTGTATTATACCAGAAGGCTCCAAAATCTCACTGTTTTACATCAAAACCAAGTCCCGTTAATACCAGGGGATAAGCCAGCATTATCTGCCTTTTGCAGAGGGAAGAAAGCGTGGCTGAGGCACTTGTTTAAAGAAACTAGCCAGTAACGCAACCAGGAATTCAACCCAGGCTCACTGGCTGCCCCAAGCCTCGCTGCTCATTAGGGAACCGAGCACAGAGGCGGCTGCCAGCTCAAAACCTCCCCAGCACTGAGGTGGTTTGTTGTTTTTTTTTTTAAAGTAAACATTTTTCTTTTTAAAAACCAGGCCTTTTTTCCTCAACTTCACACAGGAAAAAAAAACCCAGTTATTTCCACCGCCCCACAGCCCTCACTTCCACCAGCCAGAGGAGTGGCATTTATAACTCAAAGACAAGGTTCGCTCCAGTTTATTATCAGCTTGAAAAGTTACCCCTTCGGCCCTGGCAACAGGCAAACGCTTTTGTTTTTAAATCTCTCCAAGCACCAGAGCAGTAATTGCTGCCTCTATAGACGGCAGCAGAGGAGGGGAGGCCATATTAACTGCGATCCACTGGATCCAGCCAGAGAGAACACCTCCGGGAATCCGGCCGTGGTTTGGCTGAAATGTGTGAAACAAAGGATTAAATTCAAGGGATTATTTTTCCCCCCCTCGACGCGGTGTATTAAAAGGGTGTCGTGCCAATCGCACGGCGAACAACAAGCAGTTTTCACCCTTCCAGGAAACACGTTTCCTAATCCAAATTCCACTTCCAATCTAGAACTGCGCTGTTCCTCCCCACTTCGCTCCTACCGGGGGTCTCTCAGACACCGCCCCAGCAGGGACCTCGGGCTGCTGCTATCGAGCAACGTTCGAGCACTGTTTAACAAGAGTTTCGCCAGAAAATTACTCCCCCAGCCCCCACCCAGCGGCCGGAGCCGAGGCGCCGCTTCCAAGCAGAGCCACGACGTGAAGACCCGCGGAGCCCGAAGCGGGGAGGGCCGGGCCGGACCCTCCGCCGCCCCACCGCGCACTCAGACCCCGGGAGGAGGCC